GAAATCCAGAGGGTGCCGGGAACACTGGCCAAGTCCCCCGGCAGGTGGAGCTGGGGGGGGGGCGGCACATCCACACCTGTCGGGCGGCCCCGGCCTGCACGGCCCCAGTGGCGAAGGCCGCAGGTGAAGCCGGTCTGGCATCCTGAGATGCCAAGTCCGGCCCGGACCACGGGGGCTGTGTGAGCACGGCGGCAGGGGCGCCGTCAGCCTGAGAAGGCAGGAGACCCTCAAACGGGACCGGAGCCGCCCCCGCACTCCCGCTGGTCTAACAGCATCGGCGTGTTCAGCACCAGGGCCGGGTTCTAACTGCCCAATCGGCACACTGGTGAATCATGGAGACTGTTGGGCACTGTGGGGGTCGTGCACGGGCAACCCCGCCTGTTTCCTCGGCCAGAGATGCGGCTGGCAACGAGACCTCTGCTTCCCAACCCCCTGCAGAGGCGGCTGGAGGCCCCGCCCTGCTCGGACCCTCGGTGCCGGCCTGTGCTCCCAGCAGGGCCCAGCGGCGTGCGCTGGGGACAGGGTACCTTCATCGCAAAAACGGCCCGTGGACCCATAGCATTACTCCTGCAGGTGACAGACCTGGTCTTTGTGGGCACACTGTGCTTCTCGTCTCTGTGTGGCCCGGCATGTCCGTGTGACCAAGTTCTGCACAACGGCAGGGGGCCTCTGGCCTCCAGGAAGCCCTTCTTTAGAAGCGGTGGGCCCTTCTCCTTGCCCTGTAGGCTTACCCCTTTCTGCAGCTGGAACAGGGGGAGCATGGCTGGAGCTTGTGCAGCCCTCCAGGACCGCGAGGCAGGGCACGAGGATGGCAGTAGCAGAATAGGAAACAGGAACTGGGTCCCGGTGGTCGGGGAGGGGCTCCACCTCTTCCTCTGGGCTTTTCCATAAGAGAGAAGTAACCACGGATGGGGTCCAAGCCACTGTCGTGTTGTGTGTTGGGAGAGCCACACCTCCCTTAAGCACATGGCCTGCCCGGGATGATGAAGCCCGTCTAGCAGCCACCTATGTGGGCCCCGCACCTCCTCTGGGCCCGCTGGAGAGGGCGCGAGTGGGGCAGGGCCGCTTCTGGTGAGCAGGAGGGTCCCCGCGAGGCCCGTCTTTGCCTCTGGCTGTGCTGCGGCCGCTGTGTCTGGTCGTGGGCAGGTGTCCAAGGCACCTGTGACCAGGTGGGAGGGACACCCGGGCTTCGCGTCTCTGCCCCAGGGGCTCATTCCCTGCTTTTCCCCGCTCGGCAGTCGGCGGAAGGGGCTTCCGTGGGCACAGTCACCCCGGAGATTTTCCGGCCCGGAATCGTTTCCAGTCTTATGTTGAATATCATTTTCCCTGGAGCTCCCTGGCTGTGCGCGAGCCACCGGGGTGGGAGACGCCAGCTGGTGGCCGGCAGGACGCGTGGACCTGCAGGTGCGGTGCGTTCCGCGTGGGCGGGCCCCAGCAGCGCTGCCTCCACGGCCACGGAGCTGCGTTTTTGCGGGGATCCCTGCTTCCGGCGGGCATGTGTCCCTCCCCAGGGACGCACAGAGGCAGCGCGGAGAGCCGATGGGCGCAGCCGCCGCAGGCAACGCCGCGGGCCTTGAAAGGGCTCGGGGTCCTCCCCGAAGGTCTGGCCGGAGGGACGGACGCCGGAACCCGGAGACCGGTGAGCAAGCGCAGTGGCCGTGCCAGGGCCATGGGGGGACAGGGTTGGTTTGCTCGGCTTTGAGAACACGGAGATCACGCTTACGAGGAAACGACTCCTGTGCATGTGGGGAAGGCTGCAGGATGCCACGGTTTGCTGCCTTCCAGGATGAGAGACAGATACAGGCGGCCAGGTGCCCTCTGGCCGTGTGTGAGGTCTCGTGCGGGGGCTCGAGTGTGGCCGGGCATGGGCCTGCTCGGCTCGGCCCCCGGCCCTGCAGCTCTGGGGCTCTGCCCTCCTCGGCCTCCTGCTGACCAAGGGAGGGTGCCAGGAGCTGTCTCGGACCTTGGGGTGACTCTGGTGGGTCCCTGACACCGGCCTTCCAGCCCCAGCCGACACCTCCAGGCCAACGGGACACGGAGTGGCAGCGCCGTCCTGTTGAAGCCGTCGTCACTGTCATCTTGGAGGCTCCTCTCACTGGCGGGTGAGCCCGGCCCGGCCAGGACAGAGCGGACGTCTGCGGGGACCTCAGTGACTCTGCAGAGCCTCCGAGGAGAAGGACACGCGGCCAGAGCGTGCCCCACCCCCCAGGGGCTAGAGGGCTGGGCGGGGGCTCAGGGCGCCGAGGGGGACCTGGGTGTCCCTGGGGCTGGGGAGGCCGGTGTCCCCGAGCGTGGAGGGCAGACTCTCAGCGGGAGAGGGGGACTGGCGGGAAAGTTCACTTTGGACGTCGCGTGGAGAGAAGGAGCCAGGAGTGCAATTGTGTCGGGGTGGAAGGCGGTAACCGTGACGTCTATGTCTCCATGGCGCCACGGATGGAGACAAGACGGACCGGACAGAGAGTCACCCCCGTCCGTCGCAGGCTGCCACGAAAGTGAAGCCCCTCGGTCCGCCCCCCTCTGTGCCTGGGCCCACCCAGCCCCGGCCAGGGGTCCAGTTTTGCACACGATGCACAGCGACCCCAAAAAGTCACTCATGCTTGAAAGTGTTTCTGGGGCAGGAGACTGAACGCCTGGGCCCGGGAGGCCCTGCCCGGGGTGTCACCGATGACTCAGTTGTCCTGGTAACGACCACCCGGAGGGCTGCAGCGCGTAGAGCACCGTGTTGCCAGAAATTCAGCCCCAAGAGGGGCTTGCATGTCCAGGGCCACCTGTCCAGGGTCCCTGCCTGGGCAAGGGTCCCCCATGTTCCCGGGGTGAATTGTGCCCGACCAGCCACGAGGGCGAGACCCGGCTTTAAGCAAAGGGACCCCCTCCCTCCCCACCCGGCCCTCCTCCCTGCTCAGCTGGGACTCCCCGGGGCAGACCCTTCCGTGACAGGGTCCTTCCCCCTAGGCCTGCTGTGGCCGCGCACGGCTCGGGCAGGGTCCCGGGCGGACCGGATGCTGCTGCAGCCCTCGCCTCACGGGTGGGGACACTGAGGCTCGAGCAGGCTCAGCGTCAGGAAGGTCGTCCCAGGCGCCTCGGGGGAGGGGCCTGGGCCGGGGCCACACTGCGAGGGTCGGGGGCCAGGGCTGGCCGGCCCCACGAGAGCAGGACGGGTCCCTCTGGCTCCCTGCAGGAGAATTCCTTTGTGCCGGGACTCTCGGGCCACAGCAGAGCCAGGGACAAGCCGGAGCCCAGCGCCCGGGAGCGGCGTCCGCGGGGAGCACCCACCCCAGGCCGGGCGAGCCCCAGACGTGCACGGCGGGACGGGCACTCGGGGCGGCGACGCCGGCACCAGTCACAGTGACAAGGACGGGCACGCCTCGGCCTGGGCCGGCGCTGGGGGGAGGGCGGCGGTGCCCACGGCGAGGTGGGACCTGCACTCCGGGGCCTGGTTTCAATCCAGGCCTCGTTACTTGGCTCTGAAACCCCCTGCAGTAGGAGGAGCGGCGCCCAGCGAGCGTTTTTACGCAGAAACATGAGAGCCTTTCCACCGAGGCGGCGTAAAACTGCTGCTATAAACCGGGGCGAAGGCAGCCGGTGCGCGCCAGGCTCCCCACCCCGGCCCCCAGGTCCCGCCGGCCCCCCGGCCCTCGGGGCAGGATCACACTGGCGCCCGCAGACGTGGGCTGCTCTCAGGGGCCGTGAGGGAGGAACGGGGAGCCCCGTCCCCCCACCCCCGCCCGGGACGGCCCCTCCTGGTCCGCCGTGTGGGGAACGGTTCATGGGTTCCCTCCTTCGCGGCTTTTTCAGGCCGTGTTTGCAGAGTCGGCCTCTGCGGGGCAGACCCCCCGAGGCCCTGGGGGCCTCCGGCCACCAGCAGGGTCAAGCTTCCCGGCAGGGCTGGTGGGAAGGGGATTGGGCTCGGGCACCTGGAGGGGACACCTGGCTGCAGGGGGGTCCTCCTAAGGCCCCGAAAGGCCATCTCATCTCCACTTCCTCCCAGCTCAGCCGCAAACCACAGAAACTCAGGGAGAATGGGGCCCCGGGAACAGGCTGGGAATGCCACGCAGGCTAGGGGCCACCGCGGGCAACGACCAGGAGGGCTGGGAGGGCCACATGGGGGGGGCTCGGGGTGACCAGGAGGGCTGGAGTGCCACCGGCGCCGCCCTACAGGCAGCCAGGAGCCAGAGCTGGCCGAGCCCATACAGATGTGCAGCAGCGGATGTGAGGGGCTTGGGCCTGGCTGGAGGGGCAGGACAGGGCACAGGCTGGGGCGCAGGGGCTCTGGGCTGGTGGGCGGCTGGGCCGCCCTGGGAGAGGGGAGCGGGGCAGGGAGAGGCCGGCCCTGCCAGCACCTGCTTCGGGGGCCCTACTGAAGGTCCTGGGCAGGTGGGAGGCAGCGAGGGGCTGAGGGAGCCAGTGTGGGGAGCGGCCTGGGCTCCCGGTGGTCCCCGGGGTGCGAGTCTGGAAGAGGAGAGGCGTGGCGGGGCCCTGGGCCGGCTACTGTCTCTGGGGTCCTGGGGAGGGTGGCCCGTGTGGCGGGCGGGGCCGGGACCCCGGCTCTCCCGGCAGGGGCAAGTGTGGCGGTGAGGGCTGGCGTGGGCGCATTTGTGGCCCACGGCGCCCACAGAGCCTCGGGCCGGGGCCACCTTGGGGCTCCGCGGCGATAGGAGTGGCCGGGGGTCGTGTCCAGGCTGAGCACAGGCCTCGTGCCCCACAAGCTCGGCCCGTGGCCCACAGACCCGGGAATCCGGTGGATCCTGGGGGTGTTGCACCCCCAGTGCCCGCTCAGGGCAGACACACGAAGGGACCTGAGCCACCCGGGCCGCCCCCTGACTGTGCGTCGGGTTTGTGGGGTAGGGACAGCCACCCGGCCACCTGCCGGGACACCCAGGACCGCCAGCCCCCAGCTGCCTTTTAGCATGGTGACCCCATGGGGGGTCCTGTTCAGGCCTGGTTCTGGGGACCCGTTGCCCCACACCCCTGACTGCCCACCACCTGTGACCTGCACTCACCGGCTTGGCTGTCGAGGGCGTCACCCTGGCCACAGAAGGCACCGGAATCCAGCGCTGGCTCCAGGTCTTCCCGGGGGAGGGGCGAGTCGGCCCCAGCACCTTCCAGGGCAGCTGCGGGCTCCGGCGTCCCCACAGACAGGGGGTAGGGGATGCACTCGAGGCCGCTGTGAGGGGAAGGGGGCAGGTTGGCTCCGCTCCCCCTGACACCGGGCTGGCAGCTGTAGGGGACAGGTGGCCCGGGGACTCGGCCTGGGAGCAGCTCTTAGGGGCACTCGGCGCTCTTGGGGGTCCTGTCCGTTGCCCGGCAACCCTGCTGGGTTGGGACCACCGAGGCCCAGGGAGCAGGAGGGCCTCCCGGGGGAGAGTCACTGCCATCATCACTTGTGACAGCTTATGGCGAGATCTGACGTTAAAAATCAGTCCGAGTTCCCCTCAGGTGCCCGTCAGCCCTGCAGTTGTGGAAGGGTTGGTTGGAGGGAGGTTTTCAAGTCCCCTGCAGGGCCCGTCTGAGCCTCGCGTCACCCTGACCGCCTGGCTGCGACACTCGTGTCCCGTTCTGGCCGTGAGTGGCGAGAACGGGGTCTGCAGAGTCCGGGGTGTCTCTGCCTGTGAGCAGCTGGTGTGGCCGCCTGCCCCAACTGTGTCCCCGGGGTGCCAGCTCTCCCCCGGGGCACCGGAGGCCGCAGTCGGGTGCCCACCAGCTGAGATGGCGCCGGGCCGGGCTTTGGGCACACAGGGCTCCGGCCAGGGGCTTGGGGGAGGCTGGGGGCTCTGACCGGGGGTCACCGTCTCGGAAGCCAGAGGGGCTGGGGCGGAAGGAAGGAGCTGTTTCCTCGGGGCGAACCTCAACGGTCTCATAATGGGACCCGCCCTGGTGTGCGGGGAGAGAGACTAATGCCATGACCGCACAGGCAGTTTCGACCCGAGACGCGGTCTCAAGGAGCCCCCACTCCGCACACAGGGGGACCCGCTGCACGGGAGTCCGCCTCTGAGTCCCGGAGCGGCCCCTGGCCTTGGACAGGCCGCTCGGCGCTGGGCCTGGGTGGGGTTTGCCACACGGGCTTTGAGGAATAGACAGCCGCACGGCGAAGGGCGGTGGGCTCGTGGGAGATACCACCGCCCGCCGCACAGCGCTGTCCTGGGATCTGCGACTCGGTTCTTAAGGACGGTGGGGAAGAGGCTTCTTGGGGAAGGAAGGATGGAAGGAGAGAAAGAAGGAAGGAAGGAAAGAAGGAGGGAAGGAGGGAGGAAGGAAGGAAAGAAGGAGGGAGGGAGAGAGGGAAGGGGCAGGCGGGACAGGGAAGGAAGGACGGAAGCTGGTCAGTCTCCCCTCCCCTCCCCTTCCTCCCTGGCCCTGCGTCCCACTGGACGGGCAGCAGGGCGCCGCGTCCGTGCCCCCTCACTCACAGCGGGGTCTGAATGGGCGTCTCCTGGCTGTCCTCGTCCACCTTGAAGAAGCTGACCTCGGAGTAGGCCGGCAGCTGCACGCGCCTGACGCCCGCTGAGAGCTGCAGCACCCGGCCGTCCTCGCCTCCGGGAGAGAAGCGGGAGGAGCCTCAGACCCTGCCCCGGGACGGCACACGCGGGACTCCGCCGGGGGAAGGGGCCGGGGTGGGCTTTGGCGGGGCAGCACTTAGAACCGGGCCGGGCACGGGACAGGCCCTGCTCGCCCCTGCGGCCCCTACGCCTCCCCTGGGCCGCCACTGGTCTCCCCCCAGCCCCGGGGGCCCTGCTGCCCCTTGCTCGAGTCCTGGACCCTGGGCCTCCTGTTCTGGGGCTCAGGGCACTGTGGTCCCGCCACGGCGCTGGCCTGGCCTGGGTGGCCAGCCCACGGGTCACTGCGCTGCACAGCCGGCCCACAGGGGACACCGCAGGGAGCACATGTCCGAGGCTGGCCTCTGCGGGGTCCTTGTCACCTTGGGCAGACATCGCAGCTCTCTGTCCCTGCCCATCCCCCACCTGGACCCCAGGGATGGGCCCCCACAACCGAGGCACCCAGTCGGTGCCCACTAAGTGCCTGCTGAGCGGGTGCAGGAGCACTGCCAGCAGAGGCTGCGCCGGGGGCAGGTGTTGCAGCCTGTGGGTCCCGGCCCCAGGGGACCTCAGGCTGCAGACAGCTCCCAGAGGGCAGTTCCAAGGCGTGGACACCACCGTGCCCCTAGTCACTGAGCGCAGAGCTCCTGGGCCCTGCTGGGCAGGAGCTGGGTGACAGAAAGGAGTGCTGGGCAGTGTGGCCGGGGCACCAGGGCAGGGACAGGGCGGCTGCGCCCAGGAGGGCCAGGAGGAGGGGGAGGAGGCCAGTCCCGAGCTCCCAGAGTGGACGCTGCAGGTCGGGACAGGCTCCCAGACTCACAGAGGACCCGGGGAGTGACCGGGTCTCTGAACACTCAGGACTCGCAGAGCAGCGGACACCCGAGGCAGCAGAGGAGGGGCCCGACGCCGGGGGACCGTGGCAAGCGTCAGGCCCTCCCCCCACACGGGGGTCCCAGGGGCTGGCCATGTGGGTTCTGAGGTCCAGGCCCCTAGGGGAGGGAAAGGCCGGCAAGAGCCACTGGCCAGCACCAGCAAAGGCTTCACTGTCTGGCCTCTCATGCCGCTAAGATCTGCAAAAGGGGACACGGTGGGCGGACACCAGATCTCCCCTTGGCTCGGGGAGAGACGACGCCAGACGTAGCGCTAAAAACCCGTGTGGTCCTACTGCCGCCTGTACCAGGTAGGGGCCTGCTGGGACTGCCCTTCCCTCCTTCTCAAAACAACCCACAGAGCAGACAGACTACAATAAACATGTCGAGACCCCGGGCACCAGGCAACTGAGGACAGTGGCCCTGGGACGGCGGGAAAGACAGGGTGTGCGTCCCTGACTGCCCAGGCCACTGCGTGGAGAGACTGTGCGGCATTAGGTGCAGAGAGGGGAAACTGAGGCAGAGCCCAGCAAAACCCCTCAGTTGAGAAGGAGGAGCTGATAATCTGGGGGTCGCGAGGCACAGGGCCAAAGTTTCGGCGTTCGGAGGACGGGTTGGGCCAGGAGGAAGGCGTGGCCCTGACAGCAGACCCTGGCGGTCTGTGGGGTCCCCCCGCCCCGAGCACCTGGCAGGGCACAGATCAACACAGGCTCACGCGGACACTCCGAGAGACCAGGGAGGAGCCACCTGAAGGGGTCAGAGGGACCACGGCCCGGGCTCAAGCAGGGCTGGGCGCGGTGCTCGCTCCATCAGCCAGGCTAGAAAACTCAGAAGTCACAGAAACTGGGTAGCGTTCTCGCAGGGTTTCGCTCCAGTCACGGGTAGTAATTAGTCTGAGGCAGGGTCCTCCTCCAGACCTGTCTAACAGATCATAAAAGCAGGGCCCGAAAGGATTACGCCGTCTCCAAGTAACTTAACTGTGCCCCAGAACAAAGCTCTGGAATATTTACAGGAATACAAAAAACGCCCAGCACCCAGCAAGGTAACATTTACAATGCCTGGCATCCAATCAAAGATTACCAGGCACGAAAAGAATGCAGCAAAGCACGGCCCATAACGAGGAGAAAAATCAATGGATGGAAACCAACCCAGGACTGACACAGATGTGAGAATTAGCAGAAGAGGACGTTTAAGAAGTCATTATTGGCCGGGCGCGGTGGCTCACGCCTGTAATCCTAGCACTCTGGGAGGCCGAGGCAGGAGGATTGCTCAAGGTCAGGAGTTCGAAACCAGCCTGAATAAGAGCGAGACCCCCATCTCTACTATAAATAGAAAGAAATTAATCGCCCAACTAATACATATAGAAAAAATTAGCCGGGCATGGTGGCGCATGCCTGTAGTCCCAGCTACTTGGGAGGCTGAGGCGGGAGGATCGCTTGAGCCCAGGAGATTGAGGTTGCTGTGAGCTAGGCTGACGCCACGGCACTCACTCTAGCCAGGGCAACAAAGTGAGACTCTGTCTCAAAAAAAAAAGAAGTCATTATTATTATAGCTGCATTCCATGTGTTCAAAAGTGAAATAGAGACACAGAAGATATATTAAAAAAGAACAAAGCCAAACTTCCAGAGATGAGAAACACCCCAGATGTGACCCACAACAGGCTCAATGTTGCGGGAGAGAAGATCTGTCAAACTGAAGACACAGCTGACCACTAGACCAGGTGGGGGCTGGGCATCGACCCTCTGCAAAGTCAAAAACTTGTGGCTAATTTTGGATTTCCCCCAAATTTTACTAATAACTCATAGCTGACCGGAAGCATTACTGACAACATAAACAGTCGATGAACATATATAATGGTATGTTACATGTTTTAAGTACATGTTTTAAGTACATGTTTAAGTACACGTTTGTGTATTCTCACAACACAGTAAGCTAGAGAAAAGAAAATCATATGAAAAGACAACGTATTTACTGTCGTTACGTGCAAGCGGACCATCATTAAGGACTTCCTTCTTGTCATCTTCGTGTTGAGGAGGCTGAGGGGAAGGAGGAAGGGTCTTATTGTCTCAGGGATGGCAGAGCCAGAAGAAGATCTGTGTGTAAGAGGACCACTGTCCACAGTTCAGATCTGTTGTTGTTCAAGGGTCAACTGCACAGCTATAGAAATCGACCAAAGTAAAAACACTGAGAGGAAAAAGAATAAATAATAAAGGAAAAAAGAAGGAAAGAAGGAAGGAGGGACGGGAGAAAGGGAGGGAGGGAAGGCGGGAACCAGCGAGCTGTGGGGCAATTTTAAGCGGCCTATACATGGGTGATGCATAGGACAGGCTGTGACAGAAAAATTATTGGAAGAAAATGGCAGAAAATTTTCAAATTTGATGAAAACCTACAGATGCAAAAAGCCAAACGAACCCCAAGCACAAGAAACACAAAGAAAATGACGCCATGTCACATCAGAATCAAATTGCTCAAACCATCGATAAAGAGAAAACCTTAAAAGCAGCCAGCGAAGAAGCTCTTGTTTCTGCAGAGAAATGGCAGACTTGTCGTCGGAAACAATGCAAACAAGGAGACAATGGAGCGACGTCTTTAAACGTCCAAATGATAAAATGGAATTTTATGTCTGGAAAAGTATCTATCACAAATGAAAACAAAATCAAGATGTTTCCAGTTGTACAAAAGCTGAAAGAATTCCTCGCCAGCAAACCTGTACTACAAGAAGTGCTGAGGATTAAGTCCTTCGAGGCAGGCCTGGTGCGGTGGGTCACACCTATAATCCCAGCACTCTGGAAGGCTGATGTGGAAAGACCGCTTCAGCTCAGGAGTTCGAGACCAGCCTGAGCAACACAGCCAGACCCTGTTCCTACAAAAAATGAAAACAATTAGCCAGGTGTGGTGGCACCTGTCGTCCCGGCTACTTGGGAGGCTGAGGCGAGAGGATCCCGGGAGCCCAGGAGCTCGGGGTTGCAGCGAGCTGTGACTGCACCACTGCGCTCCAGCCTGGGTGACAGGGCGAGACTCTGCCTCGGAAAACTCAAGTAAAATAACATAAAAACCAGAAAAACTTTCGCTATTCAAAAAGACAGCATCAAGAAAATGAACAGATGAGCCACAGGTCGAAAGAGAAGGCTTGTGAAGGCACACCTGATGAACAACTTATATCCAGAGAACATAAAGAACCTTAACTCACCAATGAAAAGACAATGCCATTTTTAAAAAGGGGTGAAATATTCGAACAGCCGTCTCTCCAGAGGAGGTCTGCGGATGACCACCGAGCGCACGAAACGCTGCTCAGCATGGTCAGGGGGTCGGGAGATGCAGATGGAGCACACAGGAGACCCCACTTCACCCCACTTCACCCCACTTCACACTGCGGGACAGGCAGAGGGTGCCGGGCGGGGATGAGGGTGCGCAGGGGCCCGTGACGCTGCTGGCGGATTGCGGAAGGGAGCGGCCGCTTTGGAGAAACGGTTTGGCGGTTTCTTTAAAAGTTTAAACATGTATCTACCGTATGGTCCAGCCACTCCACCTGTAGGTGCACACCCGGGAGAAATGAAGACACATGTCCACACAAAAGCTTGTGCGCGGATGTTCAGAGCGGCGCCACTCCCGGTAGACGAAGGTGCGAATGACACCGGTGTCCGTCAGCCGATGAGCTCTGGGCTGGCGGAACACCGCGCCTCCACGAGGAGGGAGTCTGACACACACACGCTTGCTTGCACACACGCACACGCTTGCACACGTGTGCATGCTTGTCCATGCACACACACGCTTGCACGCACGTGTACATTCTCGCACACTCATGCCCTCGGCTGCCCCCTGCTGGCAGGAGCGCTTGCACGCCTGCCTGCTGTCCCTTCTGCTCCGCTCCTGGCAACGGGGGCTCCCGCACTGTCACCACTGGGAGTCAGGACCCCACATGACACCTCGTCTGCATTTCCGCTGCCTAAGAACCGGATCCTGCCCGTCTTTCGGAAGAGGCGGGTCACCCTCCTGGAGGCACTCACCGTTGGCGACCTCCCCGCTGTCCTGCTGCAGCTGGACGCTCAGCGTGAAGCAGGACCCTTGGGCCACTTCCATCACCTCTGGGCCCAGAATCACCATCCTGGTGGCTTGTGCTAGGGACAGCAGAGTGTGGCGTTAGCGGTGGCTGGGAGTGCGCCCCGGGAATCCACCCCCATCAGAGGTGCTCCCGGCGGGGGCAGCTCGTGTGACAGTTACAAGCACGAGCGCGGCCGTCACCGCAGAGAGTGACCCCGTAGTCATTAAAAGGGAGACCTGAGGGTCCACTCTAACAACCGGGAGCCTTGCATCTCAAAACCGGGCTGAGCACGTTGAACAAACAGCAGGGGTCCCCCGAGTGCCGAAGAGGCGGTGCAAGGGCCATCGGGTGTTCGTGCCAGTGGAATGTTCCGGCAAGTCTTCCCGCTGGTGGGGACTCGGGCCCTGCATTCCCTGCGACTGAGTCAGCGCTGGGAGGTGTGGATGTGGGGCTGCCGGAGCAGGGCCTGGCCGGGGCGGGCTCCTGAGGCCAGGCTGGCGCCTCCTGGCTGCCAGGGCCACCCCTGCTCCACCGGGCTGTGGGAGCGGCCAGAGCTGGCTTTGCACCCAGGGCCCCGCCGCCCGGGCAGCCCGGACACCCCTCGGGAGCCACCTCTGTCACAGCACAGGGGGGCCTCAGGCGCTTTGCTCATGCCAGGCCGACTTGAGCCGGCAGAGTGAGACCCACCTGCCGGTGGGAGGCTGCAGTCTCAGGTGCAGAGAGACAGGGCGGCCCAGAGAGCCGGGCTGGTGGGGCTGGGGAAGGGCCCAGGCAGCTCCCCGTGGTGCTCTGGGAGGATCTCGCTGTCCCAGGGAGACCCCGCCGGGTGGATGGAGGCTGTGCCCCAAGTCTCCCGCCTGGCTCTCATCTGGGGACCCCCTTCTCTCAGGGTGAGGTCACCAAGACACCCCGCTGGGCCAGGGCCCCCGGGGAGACCTCATCTGAGGAAGGGTGTCGGGCCAGGCCCTCAGCGCTTGCAGTGTCAGGACCCTGCCCTGTGCTCCCAGCCACCCCCACCCCTGCGTCCACCAGGAGTCTGTGCTGGAGCAGCTGTGGCCGTCCTGGTGCCCACCCCAGGTGGCTCAGGACACTGCCGGGGCCCAGGCCTCCCGGTGCCATCAGCAGAGCCAGAGGCAGCTTG